CACCTGTCCACGTCTCTCCTCCTGGTCTCCTCACCTGTCCACCTGTCTCCTCCTGGTCTCTCCACCTGTCCACCTCTCTCCTCCTCGTCTCTCCCATCTTTCTTCCTCCGTACTTTCACCCTCTCTTCCTTGCAAATCCACTTCCTTCTGTCTCATCTGTCTTTCTGTGGGCTGTCTCCTCTGTGCCTTCGCCTTCATCTCTGACTGTGTAACTGTTTTTGTCTCTGTGTCTCTATCTCGGTTCTCTGTCTCCTTCTGTTCTTCTTTCCCCTCTTTTCTCTTGCTCCCTCCTCCTCCTCCCATCCCGTCGGCTGCCCCAGTCATCAATCGCCAGAACGGTAATTCTCCCGAGCCCAGCCCCCTTGCTGTATGACTGCCGCCCCTTCCCTTCTACTCCCACCCGGGAGCTGAGGATCTGGGGCATCCCCTTGGGGATGGGTAACCCTACAGTGGGTGCACCATGCCGGTGGAAAGTCTTGAGGTTGGGGAGCCCAGATTTGGCCCCCAGATTAGCCACTCACAACTCTAGGACTATAAACAAGTCTGTTACCTTCCCCAAACCTCAGTTTCCCCATCTGTAAAATGGAAGCTAGAGAAGGCCACAAAGATTCCTTTCCACTTGGATGCTCTCAGACTTCCACACCCAGATTCGCAGTCCCAGGGTGGGGTCCAATCTCCCAACACCCTGCTCTCTGCGCCCGCGATCCCAGATTGGTCCACTCAGGCACGGTTCCCGTGGGATTGGGTGCCTCCAGCATCCATTCTGATTGGCGTTCATGCCTTTCTGCGCCTGCTCTGTTTGGCCCGTTCGGTCACTGTCCAGCCTTCCCTCTCTCCCTCCGCTAAAGCCCTCCTGATTGGCTTCTTCAGATACCTATTCTGATTGGCCATTGTCAATGCCACTCTTCTGCTTCTCCTGGATTGGCTGTTTTTGAGGCACCTGGGCCAATTAGCTGGCTGTCAGTTCCCATCCCTCAACTGCTTGGTCACCTGCTTTGCACCTCAGTGTGAAAGTGACCCCCAACCCAATAATCTATTAACCACCGCAGCCCTGGAGGGTCCCGGGAGGGGTGGCTGAGGGAGACACCAGCTTTCTGAAAGTCGGTTGGGTGGTTTTATTCCCAGATGGCACACAAGTAGTGACATCAAAGGGACACTGATGTAGAAAGACACTTGAGGTCCCAGCTTCATGAATCAAGTTCCCCCGAGGTCTCCATCTACCCATGTCATGGACTCCGAGGTCTGGACTACTGATGTCATGAATGCCAGGGACCCTTACAATGTCTTTGAAGCGGTGGCTGCACCTTCCAGTCTTCCCGCATGCTTTGGTGCATGTGTGTGCAGTGTGCATGGGTCATGTGCACGCATCGCTGTCATCTGACCCATCTGACCCTTCCTTGGCCCTGCCTCCCTCTACTTCCCAGGAGAGAAGGTCATGGCAGACGATGAATTCACCCAAGACCTGTTCCGATTCCTGCAGTTGCTCTGTGAAGGGCACAACAATGGTGAGGGGAGGGATCACGGAGTGGGGGCAGCTGAGGTTTGGGGTGGGTTTGGCAGGGCTGTGCAAGTTCATCTCCAGTCCCTCCTCTTATCACCAATGACGTCACCCACCCGGCCTTGTACTTCATCTTCTGCAGGCCACTTTCCTTCCCAAGCCTCTGGATTTCCCTGAATCCAGCCACTTTGTTTCAATATCACCTCCCCTGCCCTCATTCCCCCGGTAGTGCTGTGAGTTGGGCTGCTAACCACAAGGTTGTGGTTCAAACCCACCAGCAGCTCCTTGGGAGAAAGGTGAGCCTGTCTGCTCCTTTAGATATTTACGGTCTCAGAAACCCTATATAGGGTCGTTATGAGTCAGAATTGACTCGTTGGCAGTGGGTTTGGTCTTATTCAAAAGTGCCTTGGTGATACAGTGGCCAAGCGCTCCACTGCTAACTGAAAGGTGGTGGTTCAAACCCACCAGCCGCTCCTCTGGAGAAAGATGTAACCATAGGCTTCTGTAAAGATTTTAACATTGGAAACCCTGTGGTGGTGGTGGTTATGTGCTATGGAGTCGGTTCTGACTCATAGCGACCCTGTATAGGGTTTCCGAAGCTGTAAATCTTTACAGGAGCAGAAAGCCTCCTCTTTTTCCCACAGAACGGGTAGTAGTTTCAAACTACTGACCTTAAGGTTAGCAGCCTGACTCCTAACCACTTCGTTACCAGAATTCCTTTGGAAACCCTGTGTGGCCTTTCCATTCTGTACTACAGGGTCACTATGAGTATGCATAGATTCAACAGCAGTGGACTTGGTTTGATTTTGGTGGGTCCTCATTCAGGCCAGACCAGTTCCCCATAGCAATTTGTCAAAACCCAATTTGGAGCACAACCAGATTTCCAAAGCTCCATTTGCCCAAGTGGCCAGGCCAGTTATCTGCATGCTGTCTTCTCACAAGCACTTGTTGTAATTGCCAAAGTCCATTATGTATGGAGAGTTTCTGTGCTGAGGATCTGTAGAGGGGGAAAGTTACACGGTGTGGTGTTTTAAGATGAGTCTTTTAGAATTCACTCATGTATTCAGTGTTGGAATATCCAAATAAACAAGGTAAGGACAGGCTTACTTGTGCTTACTTAGTAATCTGTAGTGAACAATTTCACAATTTTTCACCACTTCAACGATTCTGCCTCTAGGTACGTCTGGCACCTGTCTCTCTCCCAAAGCCACAGCATCTTTTTTTTTTTTTTTATTTTTTATTGTGAATTATGTGATAGTTTACATGGGAGAATTACATTCATTCTATCGTATATTGTCTCATTGCCATGGTTACAATCCCCTCCATGCAATTCTTCCCCGTACCCCCCCAGGTCTTCAGCACACAGTCGCTCTCCCTCACAGCACCTTCTTACAAAATCAAAGCCTCTTTTCCAATTTACAATCGCTGACAGGGATGGGGAAGCCTGGTAGTGCCATAGGATAAGCACTGGACTGCTGACTGAAAGGTCGGCAGTTCCAACCCACCAGCTGCTCCACAGAAGAAAGATGAGGCTGTCTGTTCCAGTAAAGATTTTCAGTCCCAGAAACCCTGTATCAGGTTGAGGTGAAATTAACAAAATGTCAGTTGGTTTGTTTTTGGGGGGGATGAGATCAGAGTATCCAGTCAGCAAGATGTTGTTGTTAAGTGCCATCGAGTCGGTTCCAACCCATAGCAACCCTGTACAGGGTTTCCAAGGCTGTAAATCTTTACGGAAGCAGAAAGCCTCATCCTTCTCCCGCGGAGCGGCTGGTAGTTTCGAACTGCTGACCTAAGGTTCGCAGCCTGATTCATAACCACTACGCTACCAGAGCTCCTTGTACATAAGCACAAATAAGTTCAGGCTTACCTTGCTTAGGGAATAACCCTCTCCTGCATTTATGTTGCTTGTAAAACAGTAAAGTAATTACGACACAAGAGGGAGCCTACAGATTCTTTCCTCACTTAAGCAAGCGTTTTCATCATTTTTGTCAAACATTTTCACAAGTTTTGTTTGGCTTCTCAAAGAGTAATGAAGGCATGTTCTGTTGAAGTTGAAGCAAAGAGATGCAAAAACAGTCCGGGCTGAGGAAACATCTAATCTTATAGAGTAAAATCAAATACTCCCTAAAGGGGAGGGGAAATAGTGTATTTATATGGAACAACAAATAAATAGCATCATGATAAGTGGAGAAAAGATGGAATTTGTCAAAGATTTCATTTTGCTTGGATCCGCTGTCAACACTCATGGAAGCAGCAGGCAAGAAATCAAATGACATATTGCATTAGACAAATCTGCTGTGTAAACCTCTTTAAAGTCAAGAGCAAAGATGGCAGTTTGAGGACTAAGGTGTGCCTGACCTGAGCCAGGGTACTTTCAGCTTCATATGCATGTGGAAGTTGGACAATGAATAAGGAAGACTATAGAAGAATTGATGCGTTTTGACCTATGGATTGCCAGAAGAACCAACAAATCTGTGTTGGAAAAATTACATTCAGAATGCTCCTTAGAAACCAGGATGGTGAGACTTTGTCTCTCATGCTTTGGACATATTATCAGGAAGGACCCGTCCCTGGAGAAGGACATCATGTTTGGTAAAGTAAAGGGTCAGCGGAAAAAAAGGAAGACCCCTCCCCCCACAACGAGCTGGATTGGCACAGTGGCAGCAGCAATGGGCTGAAGCTTAACAACGAGTGTGAGGATGATGCAGGCTGGGCAGCGTTTTGTTCTGTTGTGTATAAGGTCGCTATGACTCTATGCACAATCGACTCTACGATCCCTACAGCAACAAGCCCATGGTAGAGTTCAGAACTAAGGGGCAGATTCTGTGATTGGTGCTTGGTGAGGTAAGGTAGTCAGAGGCAGAAAATCTCCAGGTGAGGAACTAAAAGGAGGTCATTTGATTGGTTAACAGGATAATTGCAGAAGTGCATAGATATAGGACTGTACAGAGTAATAATAGAAAAACTACAAAACATTATTTCGCCAGGACTGTTGGTTCAAAAATAAAACAGCTAGGGGAACAATAGATTTCCTGAAGGCAGTAGGCTCTGGGCATGTCTGATAAGCTTAATGGTGACAGGACCCTCACAGAAACATCCTTCCTTTATCCTTGGCTTAACCACAAAGAGAACCTTTCTATTAGTTACCAACTTTTAAGTCTGTGCTGAATGTTAGAAAAGTTAGCAAGAATTAGATGGACTTGGACCAGAACAACCATGTTATTAGGGCCAAGTGCCTCTGTTGGGGTGGGGGTGGGAGGGGTGTTCCTACATGTTCAAGTTAACACTCAAGGATGACCCAGCAATTTAATGAAACCATCGTTGTTGAGAAAATATAACCTCCTGTGACAAGCAGAGCTTAAAGCAAGAACAGAAGAGTCAAAATTGTGTACAAGGTACCTCCAAAAAAATGTCATTTCCTGTAACAAGCATGTAACAGTCAGTGTCAAGGCTGTGGTTATAACCCTTAGTAAGTGAATATAAAACCACAGGCTACCCAGAAAGTCACCTTCGTGACAAGAGCTGAAGTCATTACAAATCTAACTTTCATAACCTCTTAGCCCCTCTTGGCTTATGTGCTTTAGGGTAACTGATTTGTAAATATCTTTCATTGTCACCCTTTTCTTTTAAACAAAAGAGGGTAAAGTAGGAGTCATTGCTTTGCAATCTCAAAAGCTCTTGTATTCACAGGCAGTTTTCCCTTCAATGTTTATGAATTACCTTTGTGCTTTGTGAATGTCATTGTCTTCTTTTCATTTTAACAAAGGTAGAATCAAGTCAATTGTGATGAATTGATTTCCTGAGTCTATGACTTTTTGAGAATGAGAATGTACTCGTGGGTAGATTTCTCTCTTCCAACAAGATTGCAATCCAGCCCTGGCTTAACCATGGATTCATTAACTGACTGAATTGAGTCAATGTGTGCAAAGTCTTTCAAATTTCAGAAGCCTTGTACTTTTTGAGTATTCACGGCTATTCAATGTCCTACGGGCAAAATACTGAATGGTGCAGGAAGCATCAAAAGAAGATGGAAGGAATACACAGAGTCACAGTACCAGAAAGAATTGGTTGACACTCCACCATTTCCAGAGGTTGCTTAGGATCAAGAACCGATGAAACTGAAAGAAGTCCAAACTGCATTGAAGGCAGGTATTGCCAGATTACAAACTGAAAAGTTTCAACAAACTGATGCAACACTGGAGGCTGCAAGAAATATGTCAAGAAATGTGGAAGACGGCTACCAGGCCAACTGATAGGAAGAGATTCATAGTTGTGCCCACTCCAAAGAGAGGTGACCCTATGGAAATCATCAGACAATATCATTAATATCACATGCAAGTAAAATTTAGCTGGAAATAATTTTAAAACAGTTGCAGCAGTACATTGGCAGCAAAGTGCCAGAAATTCAAGCCTGATTTGAGAAGAGGATGTGATATGAACGATATCATTGCTGACATCAGAGAGCTATTGACTGAAAGCAGAGAATACCAAAAAGATGTTTACTTGTGTTTTATTGACTATGCAAAGACATTCACCTCTGTGGAGCATAACAAACTATGGATAACATTGTGAAGAAAGGGTCTTTCAGAACACTTACGTTCACGTGGAACCTGTCCATAGGCCAAGACGCACTCATCAGAACAGAACAAGGAGATACGGAATGGTTTAAAACCAGGAAAGCTATGCACCAGAGTTGTATCCTTACACCCTATTTATTCAACCTGTATGTTGAGCAAGTAATCTGAGAAACTGGATTATATGAAGAAGAACGTGATATCAGAACTGAGTAACAATCCGTGATACAAAGACCAGCAACCTTGCTTGTTGGTAGTGAAGAGGACTTGAAATACTAGGTGCTGGTGGTGACTTCGAGTTGGTCCCAACTCATAGCGACCCTGTATAGGATTTCCGAGGTTGCAAATCTTTATGAAAGCAGAAAGCCTCATCTTTCACTCTCAAAGCGCTGCTGACTTTTCTATTAGGAGCTCAACATGTAATCCACTATGCTACTGATAAAGATTAACAAATACAGCCTTCAGTATGAATTGCACCTCATTGTAACATCATGATAAATGGAGAAAAGACTAAAGTTGTCAAAGACTTCATTGTGCTTGGGTCCACAATCAATGCTCGTGGAAGTTAGCAGTCATGAAATGAAAAGACATGTTGCAGTAAGCAAATCTGTTACAGAAGATTTCTTTAGAGTGTTAAAGAGCAAAGATGTCATCTTGAGGACTAAGGTATGCCTGACCCAAGCCATGGTATTTTCAAGTGCCTCATATGCATGTGAAAATTGGACAATGAATAAGGAAAATGCGTTTGAATTATTGTGTTGTCTAAAAATACTGACAATATCATGGACTGCCTGAAGAATCCACAAATCTGTCTTGGTAGAAGTACAGTTAGAACGCTTTTAGAAATGAGGTTGGCCAGATTTCGTCTTTCTTATTTTGGACATGTTGTCAGGAGGGACCAGTCCCTGGAGACAGACATCATGCTTGGTAAAGTGGAGGGTCAGCGGAAAAGAGGAAGACCCCCCAGTGAGATGGATTGATACAGGGGCATCAACAGTGGGCTCAAACATAACAAAAGTTGTAAGGACAGCGCAGGCCGGGGCAGTGTTTTGTTCATAGTGTCGCAATGTGTTGAAACGGACTCAACAGAACTTAACAACAGTGGTAGTCTCCTGGTGTGGCACTGTAGGATAAGCACTGAACTGCTAACTTCAGGATCTGCAGTTCAAATCCACCAGCCTCTCCTCACCCTAGACAGTCTCAGTGGCACTTAACAACAACATGTCAGTGTATAAGGTGCCCAGGTGGCAATGTGGGTTAAGCACTGGGATGCAAACTGTGAGGTCGGCAGTCCCAACTCACTAACCGTTCCACGAAAGAAAGATGAGGCTATCTGCTCCCATAAAGATATACAGTCTCAATACGATAGGATGAATGTAAAACTAATGTTCTCCCATGTAAACTATGCCATAATTCACAATAAAACATAAACAAAAAGATATACAGTCTCAGAAACCCGAAGGAGCAGTACTGTTCTGTCGTTATGAGTTGGAATCAGCCCAACAGTGGTGTGCTTACGAGACATTGGCAGAATTTTTTTACAGGAGCTGGGAGTTGGCTATCTATTGTTGTTATTTTAAGTGCTGTTAAGTTGGTTGACTCATAGCAACCCTTTATAAGGGTTTCTGAGGCTGTAACTCTTTGAGGGAGTAGAAAGCCTCCTCTTTCTCCCACAGAGCGGCTCATGGGCTTAAACCACCCACCTTGTGTTTATCAATTCAGTGCTTATCCTATATAGCCCCATTTGAATCAACAAATATAAGAAGGTAGAAAACTGGGTTGCTGAGACGACAGCCTTATATTTGCTTATAAACTGTTAAGTATTTGAGTATACCGTGGTCTGTAACGTGAAATCAACCAGAGTAGGTCTTCCAGGCAAGTCAGCCTGGTAGAGCAATTGTTAAGAGAGTCTAGGGAAGCTGGATGGGAAGAAAAACAAACAAACAAAAAAACTCTCTGTAAGGGCTTTCAAAGTCATCCTGGGTGGCAGGACATTGTATAGACACTAATGAGACTTCAGTGAAACTTGGTTTTGTTCCCTTGATCATCAATTGGTCATTTAGCAAACTGGTCAGGAGAGACTTGTGTGTGCCTCACACCTAGTGGCCTTAGAAGACACAGATTGCTGGGCTTCACCCTGGAATTTTTTATTTCAAAGTTCTGGGGTGGCACCCAGTAATTTACCCTTCTAACAAGTTCCCAGGAAATGCTGATGCTCTGGGTCTGGGGATCCCAATGGAGAAACACACAGTATATCTCCTACATCGACAATCTCTTTAAAGCCCTTTCAGGAGAGCAAATGTGTATTAAGCACTTCTGTACCAGGCAGCGAAGTGGGTTAAGTGTTGGGGCTGCTAACCACAAGATTGGTGATTCAAACCCACCAGCAGCTCCGCGGGAGAAGGATGAGGCAGTCTGCTCCTGAAAAGATTTGCAGCCTCTGAAACCCTAAGGAGCAGTGATACACTGTGAGTCTGAATGGATTGGAAGACAATGGGCTTTATGTACCAGGGTCTGTCCTAAATTCTTCATGTATACAAAAGCATTAGAGCCCTGGCATGGTGCTATAGGATAAGCACTAGACTGCCAACTGCAATGGTACAAGACTGCCATTCTCAGAAAGCCTAGACAGGGGTCGCTATGAGTCAGAACTGACTCAACAACACACAACAACAACAAAACAGTAAATCCTCCCAGCAGCTCCATGAGGTGGGGTCTGTTGGGATGCTCATGTTACATAAATGGGAGCTGAAGCTCCATCTGGCCCCACAGAAAGGTTTAGTCACATAGTTGGGAAGTGGCGCCACCACCTCCTAGTTAGGTCTCAGCTCAGATGTCCCCTCCTTCAGGAAGCCTTCTTTGACCACCCAGGCTGGAGCAGGAACCTCCTCTAAGCTTCTGTTTGTCCACTCGAGTCCCCCTATACACACACACACACACACACACACACACAACCCTGATCATTTGGTCCAGTATACCCCACCACCATCATGAAGAGCATTTATCTTTTTTTTTAAATCAGCGTCCTGAAACTTCTCAATCATATACTGAAAGTAGAAATGATGGTTTAATTAACCCCAAGGACTCATCCCTCAGCTTCCACTTAGCTTTCTGCCACAGAACCTAACCCAATGCCCTGCTGTCGAGTCCATTCTGACTGATAGTGAGCCTGTAGAACAGCGGAGAAGGCGCCCTAGGGTTTCTGAGGCCGTAAATCTTTACGGAAACACATTGTCTCATTTTTAATCCCTCAGAGTGGCTGGTGGGTTTGAACCTCCGAACTTGCAGTGAGCAGCCCAATGCTTAACCCACAGTGCCATGAGAGTTCCTTGTCATTTGTTTTGTTTGTTAAGTAACGTCAAGTTGATTCCAACCCATAGTGACTCTGTACAGGGTTTCCAAGGAGCAGCCAGTGAACTTGAACCTCGGACCTTGCAGTTCAAACAACTTTGCAGTCTGGCACATTAACCCACAGTGCCACACCAGGACTCCTTGCCCTCAAACATTTTAAATAGCAGGAAGTGACTCACCAGGGGGTCTGTGAAAAAAAAAAAATTGACCTCAGCTGTTCTTTTCTTAATTGCACATTGACTCCCCTGAAGACATTGAAAAGATCTGAAGGCCGGATTTCACCCCTCAGTGATCCTAATTCATTCTGTCTGTGGTGGCTCCTGAGCCCCCAACTGATTCTAATCTGCAGTCCAGGTTACAAGGTGGAGAATCATTAATTCAGTGGGTTGTTACCAGAGTTCTTTTAGAACTGACTAGTATAGGACAGAAAATACTGAAACGCATATCCTGTAGTTAGGGTATGTGAAACTTCTCTTTCAGGTATGTGTAGATATCACTTCCAGTTAAGCACATGTAAAATAGATCAAAACACCAGAATATATGCTTCCTGAGGGTAGGAACTTTGTTTTTTATTGCTAAATCCCCAAGGTCTAGAACAAGTCTGGCATATAATAAGTGCTCAGTTCATTTAATGGATCAAAGTAACCTCCATTTCTTGCTAGCACGCAGTATCCGAATATCCAGTGCCATTGAGTCTATTTTGACTCATAGCGACTGTGTACAGGGTTTCTGAGACTATAAATCTCTATGGAGCAGACAGCATCAGCATGCAGTATGTGTTCAATAAATATCTGTCAGATAAATGAACAAATAAGACTGATCCTCATCTTGTCCCAGTTTCTAGTAGGTACTCAATATATGTTTGTTGCGGGGGAGGAATGAATGAATAAATGACTGACCCCCCACCACATCTAGGGAACTCTGATAGCCTAGTGATTACGTATGTGTCAGGCTGCTAATCTCACGGTCAGCAGTTTGAAACCACCAGCTGTTCCACAGGAGAAACATGAGGCTTTCTGCTCCTGTAAAGATTTACAGCCTCAGAAACCCCACACAGGGTTGCTATGAGTCAGAACCGACTCCACAGCGCATAACCACTACCACCACCACATCTGGACCATAGTAGGTCCTCAATAAGTATTTATTAAATAAATAAGTGGCTTTTCATTTTTCTCTGACACATAGTACGTACTTGATAAATAGTTATTAAATAAATGAATCGTTATGTGCCTTTTGGAATACAATAGTTGTCCTTAGGTGCCATGGATCGGTTCCGATTTGCAGCAATCCCATGCGCAACAGAACGAAACACTGCCTCATCCTGCGCCATCCTCACGGTTGTTGTCATGTTTGAGCCCATCACTGCTGCCATTGTGTCAGTTCATCCCCCTGGAGGTCTTCCTCTTTTTCTCTGACCCTATATTTGGCCCAGCATGAGATCCTTTTTCAAGGAGTAGTCCCTCCTGATCACATGACCAAAGTATGTGAGACTTAAGGCTCACCATCCTTACTTCTGACATACAATGTTGTTGTTGTTGTTGTGAAGGGTCATCGAGTTGGTTCTGACTCATAGTGACCCTGTATAGGGTTTCTGAAGAGTGGCTGGTGGGTTTGAATTGCTGACTTTACTGTTCAAACCGACCTTGAGGTCCAGTGTTAACCTACCCCAGGACTCCAGTAGGCACACAATAAATAGTTACTGTATAAATGAATGACCCATCTCCCCTAGCTCACCACAGGTATTCCATAAATGAACGACTTTCCATTTCCTTAGATTTCCAAAACTACCTGCGGACACAGACCGGGAACACGACCACTATTAACATCATCATCTGCACGGTGGACTATCTCTTGAGGCTACAGGTGTGGATGTGGGGCGGTTCAGGTGTGAATGTACCTGAGTGAAGATGTGGGCAGAGGCTGTAGCACCACGATTGGCCACAGCACCCCTCACATGCTGCCCACCCTCTAGGAGTCCATCAGCGACTTCTACTGGTACTACTCGGGCAAGGATGTCATTGAGGAGCAAGGCAAGAGGAACTTTTCCAAGGCCATGTCGGTGGCTAAACAGGTGTTCAACAGCCTCACCGAATACATCCAGGTAGGCACCAGTTGCTGGGGCGGGGTAGGGCAGTCCGGCTTCCGGTGCCCGGTGTGGCGCTCACGCTGTCCTCTGTCCCCCAGGGCCCCTGCACAGGGAACCAGCAAAGTCTGGCGCACAGCCGCCTCTGGGACGCAGTGGTGGGATTCCTGCACGTGTTTGCCCACTTGATGATGAAGCTTGCTCAGGTTCGGGGTCGGGGGGTGGGGGGTGGCCTCTATTCTTCGCCCACCAGCTTCTGGGCATTCCCCGAATTGCGCCAGTTTCAAGTCTTGGCGTCATTGGTCCATTTCTCACCCAAGGGCTACTGGCCTGTTCCAGACTGGGTCCCTCCCTGTAGGGATTGGCTCCCCGCCATGAACCACCAATCAGCTGGCTTCCCACCCATGCTTCCATTAGTCTAATAGTTGGGACACGCCCCCTCTGACCCTCTTCTGTGATTGGCTGGCGTTCTTTTTTTCTTTTTCCTTTGGTGGGATCCTCTACTTTTATGACAGCTCTGGGGTGGCATTGGAAAGCTTATTCAGACCCTAGAACTGAAGGAGTATTTTGCTTCTTTGTCCTGCCTGCGGCAGATGACACCCTTCCAAGGCACCCAGGATGTAAGGTTCCTGTCGCACACTCTTCTCCATCTCTAGACCTTTTGTGTTTCCTTCTACCCCCAACCCCCACGTGTTCTTGTCATTGTCTCACACACCTCCTTTGCTCAGCGTCTGCTCTCCAAATTAGTCAACGTATTCAAAGCCACCATTTACAACTGGGCAGGTTGTGCACCATACAACAGCGCCATAGCCAAGAGAACACCATCTACATGTTGGGTGCCTTGGGGTGGGTTTTCAACTCATAGTGGCCACATGTGACAGAATAGAATGCCTCATGGGGTTTTGCAAAGTCTCTCCCCTGCTGAGTGGTTTCCTATCACCAACTTTCCCATTGTTGTTGTTGTTAGGTGCTGTGTAGGGTACCGACTCATGTTGTTGTTGTTAAGTGCTTTCGAGTCGATTCTGACCCATAGCGACCCTGTATAGGGTTTCCAAGGAGCAGCTGATGAGCTTGAACCACCGACCTTGCAGTTCAAACGGCTTTGCAATCTGACGCATTAACACACAGCTCCACATCAGGACCGACTCATAGCGACCTTTATTATGCACAACAGAATGAAACCTTGCTGGGTTCTGCACTCATCTCAAAATCGTTGCTAGGCCTGAGCCCATTCTTGCTACCTCTGTGCCAATCCATCTCATTGGGGCTCTTGTATAAGCAGCCTTAACTCACCATGAGTTTACCATCAGCCTAAAATAAAAACAAAGTATACCCCATTGCCATGGAGATGGTTCCCACGCATAACCACCCACCCTATAGGAAAGAACAGAACTGCTCCATGGGGTTTCCGAGACTGTAAAACCTTTACCGGAGCAGACAAACTCATCTTTCTTCCACAGTGGGTTTGAACTGCCGACCTTGTGGTTACCAACCCTGTGCTTAACCCACAACACTACCATACCAAAACGGCTTCGTCCACATCCTGTTGTTGTTAGATGCTGTGGGTTCTGACTCATAGCGACCCTGTATAGGGTTTCCTTGGCTGTAAATCTTTGTTGTTGTTAAGTGCCTTCAAGTTGGTTCCTACCCATGGCAAGCTTGTGTTGGGTTTCAGAGGAGCTGCTGATTTGAACTGCCGACCTTGCGGTTCTAATGACCTTGCAGTCCAGCACATTAACCCACAGCACCACACCAGGAGCAGAAAGCCTTGTCTTTTTCCCACGGAGTGTCTGGTGGACTTAAATGTCAACCTCACAGTTAGCAGTCCAGTGCTTATCCTACAGAGCCATTGAGCTCCCCTCATCCACATCCTAGCCATCATAAATATTCCTTTCCAGCAGATGGCAGTAAAGTATTATGTATATTATACTTTCTCAACAGTTATTTTGAAGAAAGAACCTTGTCTCATTGACCCAAAGGTATCATTGGCTCTGTCAGAAACCTGGCTGGTGTCATCTAATGTTTAGAAAGGTGTAGAACTTAGAACGTGGTTCCTCAGTGCCCATGCTTCTGGGGAAATTTTCAAACTTTAGAAAAGGTTGGTGTTGTCATTCAGTCTTCCGTATCCTGTGATGTCAACCTTCAGTCTTACTCAAGGGCTAGGTTTCCAGGGCCAGAAACGCAATGCAAAGTGGTGGCTTCATGTCAATGGGGAGGGACTTTTCAGTTCACACAGCGGAAACGTCTCTCTCCATGTCTGGCCTGTTCGTCTGTGCTTTGGTTTCTTCTCATACAGGCTCTCCCCAGTGCTGGCAACACGCTCCCCTCCCTCCCCATCATCCACCTCTAGACTTTCACCCCTACCTTAGCAATTCCAGAAGGAAGAGGGCCTCTCTTTCTTAGGAACTCCAGCTCAAGACTGGCAGTTCTGTTTGTGTGTAATGAATGGGTCACATGCCCAACCCTAAACCAATCACTGGGGTTAGGAATAAGAAGGCTCTAATGTACAGAAATTATCTAGAGCCAGGAGGTTGGGGTGAGCCTTATATACTCTTGAGAGTGGCATGGGGTACCCCCTTGGAACTTTGAGGGATTGTTAAGAGTAGAGGGAACTGGCTCATGGGCAGGCACAAACCAGGAGCGCCTGCCCATCCTAGTTGAGTTCCAAAGACTGCATGCACAGCTTCTGTGAAAATGTGTTAGGATCAAAACCAGTGGTGGGGTGAAAAGGAACCTTACATCCTATTTACTAGGTGACATTACAATTTTGTGGGACAAAAATAGCTGACTAGCACCCATTTTATGTGGCTTAACCTAATACAGATAGGGGGTTATGGGGTAGAACTTTGGTTGTGTTGGAGGGTCAGTCTGAGGACCCTAAATGATGCACCATGGTGGAGAGGCAATGGGCCCCCACATTGCATCCAACTGTCTTACCTGACTCCTTCAGCCTTATTCCTGAACCCAAGGTCCCACTTTTTCCATCACAATTCATACAACAAGTGAAGTCTAACACCCTCCTTGGGCTAAAGGTAATGTTAGGGTCTCACCCATTCCCAGATTGGTTTCTGTTCCTGCGATTTATCTCTGTTGCTCTCTATTTCTGTCCCTCTCTGCGCCAACTATCTGCTCTGCAAGCCCCATTTGTCTCCATGTCCTCATCTGTAAACTTCTTGTCACCACACATCATCTATTTGGCCAGCTTCCCCCCAAATGACAACCCACCCCAAATCTTGTATCTCTGCCCCCTCCCCTGCTTCCGAGGAACATGTCTGGACACGGGTCCCCTCGGAGGTAAGGAGGGGGAAAGAGAAGGTCTCATGCTCTGCTGGGTGGGTTAGGAGGGACAGGAGCCACTGGGGTGGGGGAGGCCTCTCTGCAGAGAACAGCCCTTACATAGCTGGGGGGTGGGGTCTCCAGGACTCCAGCCAGATCGGACTGTTGAAGGAGCTGCTGGATCTACAGAAGGACATGGTGGTGATGTTGCTGTCGCTACTTGAAGGTAAGCACCCAACAGGCAGGGGCAGGGGAGGGTACCAAGATACAGACAAGTCCAAGAATCACTCTCTGAGACCCAAGCAACCGTAACCCTCAATTACCTCTCTGACATCATTCCGGGTCAATAGATTGATGAAGAAAGTCACAATAATGCCAGGAAACCCTTATTAAGTATGTCTTATGTGCCAGGCCATGGGTGTACATAGATTAATTTATTGAATCCACAGAGAATCATAAAGTGGACTGTCTGGGTACTCTTAACTATGTAGTTAATATTTATCTATTTGCTAAATTCATGATACCTGCTCCTCAGTTATCGACATGGTTAGGTCACAAAGACCACGTCGTTATGCAAAAATCAGTATACAAAAATGGAGGATGACTCCATTATTACATAACCACCAAATACCATCATTACGGAACTGGCAAATTACATCTTTACATAACTGACAAGCCAATGAGAATCATGACACAGCCAAGTTGATGCAGAAATCGAACCATCACATCTTGCCTGGCACCTCACCTCTGCATGTGTTACTGCCAGATATATGTCATTAATATGCAACATAGCAGATTTTATTTTGTTTTTTTCACTATTGTTGGAAATGTGAACTGCCAGATAATTAAACAGTCAAGAAGTGAGAAGTAGGTGCAGTTTGCTTTTGCTGTGTAATAATTTCCCCCAAAACTCAGTGATTTAAACAACCATAGGCTCTTATTTTTCATGATCCTGTGGGTCCACTGGGCAGTTTGTCTCCTGGTCACGTGATAGTATTCATCTGGGCTTAGCTGGTCCAGAAGTTCAAACATGAGAGTGTTTGAGGCTCTGGTGCTGGCTGTTGGTCAGGGTGCCTCAGCTCTTCTCCTGACCTCTGCAGCAGGACAGCCTGGCCTCATTTTTCTAGAGGCTCAGTTCCCCAAGAGTCCAGGGCAGAAGCAGCCAGGCCTCCTCAGGGTTTGTTCCAGGGCTGGTCCATTGTGGTTTTCATCACTTTTTATTGATGTCCCAAGGCCAGCTCAGGTTTAGGGGAATGGGAAATGAATTAATTCCCCTTCTTAATGGGAGGGCTACCATGTGCACACAAAGAGGGAGGGATGGTTAAACACCACTTTTGGAGACAACCCATCACCTTAAACTGCCTAAAATTTTGTTAAGATTTTGTTGTTATTGTTAAGTGCCGTCAAGTTGATTCCGACCCATAGCAACCCTGTATAGGGTTTCCAAGGAGCAGCTGGTGAGCTTGAACCGCCGACCTTGCAATTCAAACAACTTTGCGGTCTGATGCATTAACCCACAGCGCCACACCAGGACTCCGATAAGATTTTTGCATGGTTCAAAATTCAGAAGAGAATGTCGTCTTTCCCCTCCCCCTCCTCCAGATACCAGTTCCCTCACTCTGGAGGAAACTAGTGCTTACTAGTTTCTTGTGTGTCCTTCCAGATAACCTATGTCTATACAAGTAAATCCGTATGGTGGTGGTTAAGTGGCATGGAGTTGGTTCCGACTCACAGAGACCCCATAGAACAGAGTAGAACTGTTCCTGTTAGCAAGTCTTTATGGGAGCAGACAGCCTCAGCTTTCTCCCAAGAAGCCGCTGGTGGGTTTGAAGCTTTGGTTAGCAGTCCAATGCTTAACCTACTGTGCCACCATCACTCCATAGATCTGTGTGTGTGTTTATACAAACACACACAGGAGTGCAGTAGGAAAATCACCAAGGTCAATGGTTCAAACTCACCAGTCACTCCTCAGAAACCCTAGACAGGGTAACTCTGAATAAGAACCGACTCGACAGCACTTAAGAAAGGCAAACTAGGAGTGTGGGAGCGCTGTAGGATAAGACCTGACTGTGAATCACAGTTAGCAGTTTGAAGCCCATCAGCTGCTCTGTGCAAGAAAGATGAGGTTTTCTGCTCCGGCCAAGATTTACAGCCTCAGACAGGAAACCTATACAGGTCATGCTGAGTCTGAACTGACTGTATGGCACTCTATGGTATTCAACAACAACAGCAACATATGTATTTACATATATATATATATATATATATCCTGGTGTGGCACCATAGGATAAGCACTTCACTAAAGATTGATTTGAACTGCAAAGTTGGTGGTTCAGACTCACCAACCATTCCTCAGAAACCCTGTACAGGGTCGCTATGAAACAGAACTGATTCAACAGCGCTTAACAGCAACAACAATGTATGTATACACGCGCATATCATGGGGCCTCAAAAAGTTCACGGAAAAATCCCATTATATATTCAATCGTTTTTTCCGTAAATTTTTTTGGAGCTCCCTTGTGTATGAAGTATGCATATACATATCTATGTGGATGTATGTACAAATGCATAAATATAGATCTACGTATATAAAGAGCGAGCTATAGTGAGAATTATAAAGCAAATGGGGCCAAATGTAAACAAAAGGTGAATCTGGAATACATCTATGTTTCCTTACACTATTCCTGCAACTTTTCCATAAATTTGGAATTATATTAAAATTAAAAGCTGGAGCCAAACTTCAGCTGCCCCTTTTGGAGGGGATATGGTATCCCAGTTTGCTACAGTCTCCACCCCTTCCTGCTGTATAACCTTTGACTTGCCTGGCGCATCCACATACGTGCCTGGCCTCTCGATTAGCGAAAGGTTTAGGTGTGTAAGTTCTGAAGTCTTGGGGCCCTGGACTCAAATCCTTCCACACTGTTACTTGGGTGTGTAGCATTCTCTGAGCTCAGTTTCCTCATCTGTAAAAGGGGAAGTAACACACCTCCTTTACCAGGTCGGGAGATCATGCCAGGGCAGCTCTTGGTACCTACTATAGCTTAGACATCATTATTCTCATTGATGATTTCCTCCAGCTAGTGGAGAGGTGGGCAGAGGCAGGATCGTCCAAATCCACACAGAATGCTGCTGAAAAACAGGAAGTGACCCAAGCCTTTGGAGGAGAGGCTTGGGAGTTGGTCAGGGAGGCTTCCACCAGCGTGTTGGATCCTGGGGAACCACGTTTGGCTTCTGAGTTGGGGAGGGAGACAATCCTGTTGGGCTCAGAAAGGAGGCACTGAGGGGCTACACTAACCAGGGACTGTCCACAGGGAACGTGGTGAACGGCATGATTGCCCGGCAGATGGTGGATATGCTGGTAGAATCCTCGTCCAACGTGGAAATGATCCTCAAGTTCTTCGACATGTTCCTGAAACTCAAAGACATCATGGGCTCTGAGGCCTTCCAGGATTATGTCACGGATCCCCGTGGTCTCATCTCCAAGAAGGACTTCCAGAAGGTGGGCACAGAGTGGGGATTGGGCTCTGGAGTGCCAGCCACACCCTCTCTGGATGTCGGCCTTGGCAAGTGACATCTCTCTGAGCCTCAATTTTCTTATCTGTAAAATAGGAGTTGTTTTCAAGACCCCTGGTGGCACAATGGGTTAGGCATTGGGCTGATAACTGAAAGGTCAGTAGTTCTCCATTTGTAGGAGAAAGATGGAAAGTGAGTCAGAGTCAGCTTGCTGATAGTTGGTTTGGTTTTAGGTTTGGGAATTAAATGCATGGATACAACGTGTAACTATTAATGGTGGTGGTGTGCCACGGAGCCGGTTCTGACTCAGAGCCACCTTGTACAAGGTTTCTAAGGCTGTAAATCTTTACGGGAGCAGAAAACCTCGTCTTTCTCCTGTGGAACGGCTGGTAGTTTTGAACTGCTGATCTTGCGGTTAGCAGCCTGACTTGTAACCACTACGCTACCAGAGCTCTTTATTATCCTTATTGTTGTTGTTGTTAAGTGCCGTCGAGTCGGTTCCGACCCATAGCGACCCTGTACAGGGTTTCCGAGGGTGTAAATCCTTACGGGAGTAGAAAGCCTCATCTTTCTCCCGCAGAGCGGCTGGTAGTTTCGAACCGCTGACCTTAAGGTTCGCAGCCCGATTCGTAACCACTACGCTACCAGAGCTCTTTATTATCCTTATTAATAGTTGTGATTTATCATTACGAGTACTGAGACCACAGGACAGGCTACAATGGCTGTTCAGGGTTTCCAACAGACTGTAAATCTGTTCAAGAGCAGACAGTCTCATCTTTCTCCCTACTGAGGTGACTGGTGGGTTTGAACTACTGACCTTGTAGCTAGCAGCTCAACACTTAACCTACTGTACCACCAGGCCCCTCTCAAGAGATATTGGCTACCATGATTACTGGCAGGTCTTTTCCATTGAGTTAATTTTTTTAAAATTTTGAAGTCATTGCAAAATTACAAGAGTACTACATAGAATCCTAAAGAGCTCTGGTAGCGTAGTGGTTACGAATCGGGCTGCGAACTGCAAGGTCAGCAGTTCGAAACTACCAGCTATTCTGCGGGAGAAAGATGAGGCTTTCTGCTCCCGTAAAGATTCACAGCTTTGGAAACCCTGTACAGGGTCACTATGAATCAGAACCAACTCCACAGCATATAACCACCACAACCTAGAGCCCTTTAGTAACTGTGAGTTACTTGGTAACCCATAGTAACGTCCTACCACACTTCGCTTGTATTATGATTCCACTTGACCTCTAAATACTTTGATGTACAGCACCTGAGACCAAGTTCATTCAGGAAATTTATATTGATACAATGCTATTCTCTAATCTACAAATCATAATTTAATTTTCACTTGGCAAAGAAATCGTTTTTCCGCCATGTATCCACTCCACGGGACTTAACAACAACAACCCCACCTCAGGAGCAGGATTGTGTTTAGATAGTCTGTCCCTTTAAAAACCAACCAAACAGCCAAAACATTGCCTTTGATTCCATCTGACTGAATACAACAGTATAGGATAGACTAGAAATGCCTCCATAGCATTTCCAAGGCTATAAATCATTACAGAAGCAAATTGCCTCATCCCCTGGGAGCAAATGGTGGGTTGGAACCACCAACGTTTCAGTTTGCAGCCAAGTGCTTTAAGCACTGCATCTCCAGGGTTCCTTCTGTCTCTGCTATTGTTAGGCACCATAGAATTAGTTCTGACTCACAGTGGCCCTGTTTACAGCAGAACGAAACACTGCCTGGTCCCGGACCACCCTGTCAGTTGTTGGGCCCAATGTTGTAGCCACTGTGCCCACCCATCTTGTTGGGGGTGTTCCTTTGTCACTGACCCTCTACTTTCCCAAGCATGATATCTCTTTTGGTCTTCAATTCAAAGTAGCAGTTCGGTCTGCCTTGCATCTCAGCATCTCTGTTTCACCAGGTTGCAAACAATCTCTTTTAAAAAATATATAATTATTTTTAAATACATAATACATTCACACAATTCAAAAATCAAAGCATAACAAGATAGGACATGAGAAATCTCACTCCCACCCTTTTTCCAATCCACCCTTCCCCCACCACTGTAATAATCACTTTCATTTGTTTCTTTTGTATCCTTTGTTTCTTTCTTTTGTTTAGTAACATTTAGTAAAACCCACCAAAGCCAGAACCTGTGTAAAGCCAGAAAACTGCCAGAGAAGATAAACTCACTTGGTGTTTATGAGATAGGATTCTTAGTGGAGAGCAATAGAAAAGTGGCAAGCACACAGTTGAAGGCAGAAAATTTAGGAGACACAGAAAAACAAGACAGCCCCGCCGAGTTCTGGCTCAAATACGTTTCACTGTATGTTATTTTCCTCCTTAAACAAGAAGAAATGGTGCAGTATATATACACTAGTCTGTATCTTGCTTGGTTTTCACCGAATAATATATTCTGGGCATACAAAGAACTTCTTTATTCTTTGTACAGGTTCCCATTATTCTATTTTGTACACAAATGATAGTTTGACTATTTCCCATTGATGGACACTTGTTTTGTTCCCTGCCTTTTGCTATACAGGGCTGCCGTGTATAGTCATGCAAGTTGTGCACTGCATAAGGTGCTGTATATAGTAAACCCTATGTAGGATAATCACTGCACTGCAAGGCCAGTTTGAACTGCAAGGTCAGCAGTTCAAATCCACTAGCTGCTCCTCGAAAACCCTATACAGGGTCGCTATGAGTCGGAACTGGCTCAACAGCACTTAATAACAACATTATAGGACAGGAGTCTTGATGTGGTGCTGTAGGATAAACACTTGACCACTAATCACAAGATCAGCAATTCAAACCCACCAGCCGCTCCTCAAAAACCCTATACAGGGTCACTGTGAGTTAAGCTCCAACTCAATGGCACTTAACAACAACAACAACAACATTTTAGGACAAAGTAAAATGACTCCTTCAAGTTTCCAAGACTTAATCTTTATGGGAGCAGACAGCTTCTTCTTTCTCCTGCAGAGTGGCTGGTGGGTTTGAACCACCAACTTTGCAGTTAACAGCCCAATACTTAGTCCACGGTGCTACCAGGGCTCCTTGTATATAGCAGGTTGTTGTAGTTGCATGCCTTCAAGTCGGTTCCCACTCATAGCAAGTCTATATAGAGTTTCCGGGAGCCCTAGTGTAGTGCTGTGGGTTAATGCACTGGACTGCAACACAGGTTTGAACTGCAAGGTTGGCAGTTCAAGTTCACCAGCCACTCTTCTGAAACCCTATACAGGGTTGCTATGGTTTGGAACCGACTCGACAGCACTTAACAATAACAACACAGAGTTTCCAAGGTTGTAAATCTTCCTTTACTGGAGCAGAAAACTTGTCTTTCTCCCGCGGTGGATTTAAGCTGCCAATATTGCAGTTCACAGCCCAACACGTAACCCACTACCTACACCACCTGAACTCTTTGTATTTAGCAAGTTGTTTGAGTCCGTTCTAAACCATAATAACCCTGCATAGGGTTTCCAAGGAGTGGCTGGTGAGCTTGAACTGCCAACCTTGTGGTTCAACGTGACCTTGTGGTCCAGTGTATTATCCCACAGTGCCACCCCAGGAGGTCACTGTAAATGTGCACGTGTCTGTAGATTTCTAACAGACGGACGTCAAGTGTGCTGAGGAAGGCCCCAGATGAACCATTAGCAATGCTGGCTGTAATGATTCTAGACATGCGCAGTTCATTTCCAGGAAAGACTTCCAGAAGTGGGATCTCTGGATTAAAAGATACACGTATTTGTCATTTAGATAGTTTTTGCCGTCCACATGGGTCAGATCATTTTCCCCTTCATTAGCAATGTGAAAGTACTCGTTTCCTCAAGGCTTTGCCACCAGACCACGTTGTCAAAATTTTCGATTTATGCTAATCTAATTATTGAAAGGAACCCTGGTGTGGCAGTGTGTGAATGCGCTGAACCACAAGGTTGGTGGTTCAAGCTCACAAGCAGCTCCTCAGAAACCCTATACAGAGTATCTATGACTTGACGGCACTTAACAACAACCAATTGCTGAAAAATGCACCCAGGTGGCTGGTGTAGGGGGTTTTGAGTTGGGCTTCAAACTGCAGTCTGCTCGCAGTTTGAAACTATCAGCCGTTCCGTGGGGGAAAGATGAGGCTTTGGCTTTTTGCTCCTGTAAGGATTTACAGCCTCAGGGTCACAATGAATTGGAACCGACTCCACAGCACACCGTCACCAATTGGTGGGAAATGGGCTTCCCTTGCTGTTTTGTTTGCATCGCTCCTATTTGCATACAGGTGAGCATATTTGCGTGTGATTTCTTTTGCTTTTCTTGTTCCTAGGACTCTCACTGTCCATGGTTCACTTTTTTATTGAGATGTTGATATTTTTCTTCTTGATTCCAGGAGCTCTTTACGTCTCTCCTATGAGGTTGACTGGCTTTTGGTTAGCGATAGATGTTGAAATGGTTTTTCCCAGTTCATCGTTTTATCTTTTCATTCTGTTTATGATATTTTGGTTTGTTGTTTTGTTTTTGACCATGCAGAGTACTTGATTTTTGTGTAGACCATCATTTAAAACATTGTATTAATTGTTAATAGACAACACTTCTTGTTGTTGTTAGTGCCATTGAGGTGGTTCCAATTCATAGTGACCTTGCGGTCGGTCCAGTGCTTATCCTATAGCGGCACACTAGGACTCCAGGTAACACTGGAATTATAATAGTATAATATATAGTCTTAAAAGATGATGCTAGGGTATGCCCTTGGTTGTTTGAATGGTTATATATTCCTCAGTGCTTTGGTGTACATCAAAAAACAAAACAAAAGAGAGTGAATGGAAGAAAATGCTGTTGAATGATGATGGATGGAGGGGACTATAGTCATGGCAAGGAAACGAAATACAATAGGAAGAACATAAAGCTGATGTTCTCCCATGTAAACTATCACTCAATCCACAATAAAAACTAAAAAAAAGATGATGAAGGACCGAGCAGTGTTCCATTCTGCTGTGCAC